TTAGCATCTTTTTAAAAAAAATCATATCTCCTTTGTTTATAGACCGATTTGAAAAATCCTTGAAAATTCTGAAAGAGCATACTTGAAATAGTAACAAAAAAATTTGGCGATCCGATATTTTAATTTTTGAACAAAACTGCAAGCAGTCCCGGGGACCCCACTCCAACTGTTCACTGCCGGTTGTTGAGCGACATAATTGCTGCGCGTCAACACGTCTTCCTACTGAGAAGATCCTAAATCTCTCCCCTTCCAATTTCAGAAATGCTAAACCGAGAAAGTTTCGCTGAGGATCCCAGTGTGTATATCTATAGGGTTAAGATATATTTAAGACGTTTTCAATACAATAAAATTTCATTTTGTGTGTTTATTTTGGATATGCGTGCTAGGTATTATCAAAATTTGGACCAAAAGTTGTTCCATCCAAAATTTTGGGTCAAAGATATCCCATTTTACGATTCTGTAACAAATATCGTCAATGAAAATATCAATTAAAGATCAAATTAAATATCGAATAATCTTTGATTAATACTTCAAGTGTACGTGTATTAATTGCATATGTAAACGTTTTTATATGTGTTTCGTACGCAGAACAATTGAACGAACTACGGAAGTCGAGTATATCGCGACTGCTCTGCGACAACGGGGACAACATTCAGCACATGCAAAGATCAGGATTTGAACAAATCTCTGCAGTGTAAGTTTAATTTGTTTTAAATTGATTACATATCTTATCTGTGCTGTATTTTAATTTGAATTAAGATACGTGAAACAATCTCTTCTAAATTACGCAAATTTTAGGAATCCGCTCAGAAGATGCAGCAAGCTGCCGCAGGTAGACCTTTCTCTCTGGAAGGACTATAGTTCAAAGAATCATGATCACACATATCGTGTATCACCGCTATATAAAAAGAGATGAGCAAACGAGCCTCTCTTTCGTCAAGCTACTAAGACACCAGAGAAATAAAATTCATGCTTTGGATATATATATAGGAATAAAAATCAAATTTGACTCAAACAAATATCTATAAATGAATTTTTTTAGAAAAAAAAACACTGATTTTTTTTTAAAATTTTATAATTTAATACCAGAGAACATAATCAGAGAGAGAGAGAGAGAGAGAGAGAGAGAGAGAG